TGGAACTGACGACACGGTACTGATGAATGGGATACAAATTTGAGATTAAAATTCGGAATTAAGTATTTTACTGATATTTTTTATTAGTGGATGCTACTTATCAAAAAATCACATATAGCCTTATATAAATTATAATGAAATATATATAGGTACGTAAGAAAATAACTACTCACCACAGTACTGAAATTTTGACTGGAACTATACGTACATTTACCGCAACTTGCATAATTTTCAAGATGAATGTCGTGCAAAGGGCGGGCTTTGTGGGTAATTTATTACCAACACTTGAGTTAAAAATATGACTTGACGTTTAAACTTCAATATGTATTTCGCAGGAATTTTGAATTTTAACATGGACATAAAACTGACGGGTAAAAGTGAGTACAAAGATTATCAATTTTTTAAAAATTGCCATTATTCGAATCTATGATAAAATATGAAGAATACATTATTTAATGTTTTATAGTTTGTAGTGAAATTGAAAAATTTAAGATACCTAAATTGAATATATTTTAAACTAATATCACTCAAATATTTGATTCAGGAGTTGTGACACACCAAGGTACTGATGTTTTGAATATTTATTATGTTTTTCTACAAACGTGCTTAATACATTAAAATTGGGTGGACAAATTAAAAAAACCTGGATCTTTTGTAATATACTAAAATATTTACAAAAGTATAAAATACCTACTCTATTGACTGATGACATCAAGTTGTCCAACTCTTGTAGAATCACCCATTAAGGGATTTGATTTTGGTTGAATTTTTATTTTGGCATAATCAAAGGAATTTGTGAATTCCATTGATAAAAAAATATAACTTTTTTATGATATTTAAAAATGGTAAAGATTTCTATATTATAATATTTCAGCAAAATAATAATTTACTGCTGAAAATTACAACAACAAAAATAATTACGTTTAGACATTGTGTTCATTCATTCATTTGCCCTAAAGATTATACACAGATTAATAAACTGATAATTACTGAACATAACAGTTTAAATCCAAATACATACATACTATACATAGTGTTGTTTATTTAATCATCAAAGTAGACGCTAACACGAACTGCCAACATGGTGTTTGTTAATCTTAGATGCCTATTATCCAGTTTTAATTGAATCGCAAAATTTCAAAATTCATAATTAATAATTTTATTTTGTCTTGTTGGATTGAAGTATTCTTGAGATCAAAGATTTATAAGTTACGTAAAACTTCAGAATGTTTTAGACAGTCTTCAAGAGGTTAATTCACTGGTAAATTAGTTATAAAGTGTATAAATCAATGTTTTTTTATTAAAAAAGGAATACGAGGGTTAAACACTTTAAAATCACAAGGCAAAGTTCAGCGTTCTATGGGCTAAAAAAACTTTAATAAACAAAATATTATTTGGTAAAACCGCCACTTTTTAAAAATTAAAAAAAAAATTGTTTAAGTCCGTCTTGTTACTGTTACTTATTAATAACTATAGTTACTAGCAAGTTATTGACTAGTTAGTTAGTTTCTCTTTAGTTACTTTTTTTAGTTATGTCAAATAATGAAACATTTAAAAATCAGTTGACATTTGTGACATCTATCACCTCTAATTTTTGACATCTGTTACCTGCCATTTTTTGACTCTCTCAAACCCTAATAGTAACCAGCAAGTCTTAGTCAGTATCAGCATCCTTAGTTTTTGTTCAAACTAATAAATAATATTATTGACTGTCCATATCTATCTTTTAGGTAAATTATATTTTAGAGTTTCTCGTGTCAAGTAAAGAAACAAATTTACGTTTTATTTGTCAGCTGCTAAAACGAATTTATTAAAATTTTCTCCAGTGCATTGTATGTTTTGAAGGTACATCGATTTGCAGGACAAGTTTTATATTTTTTCATGCAATGTTAAAACAATTAAAAATATCATTAGCACTTAATTTTTCCATAGGTGATTTTATAAATATGATAGATGGACTTCTCTTTAATAATAATTTAATAATAATAATAATATTGTACATTTTAATAAATATAACAAAAAAAGTAGTTTGTCTTAAAAAGTAAAACTTACTTTTTAAACAATAAGTCTGCTTAATTTATTAAATATTTCTTTTAGAAAACGTCGAAATTTTCATTTTCTTAGGGATCTTTTTGATACTTTTGTCATGATAGTTTTTACCACACTTCACTCGCACAAGTGAAATCAATAAGATTATAACACAGACTGTGGATTATAAAGTTATGTTCACCAAGGAGAGCGCTGGCCCTTTCCCCCTCTTTTTAAGGGAAATAACAAAAATTTTGTTACCATTGCAAAACAATAGTAAATATTAAAAAAGTGTTCCTATAGCAATAAAATATACTTATTTGTTATTGTTCTTAACGTAAGAGCTATTAACAAAGATTTTCTAACTGAAATAAAATTAATTTGAATAACAACGATAGTAATTTAAAAAAGACAAATATGCCATAGGAAAATGAACAAATTTTACTATAACAACTATGCATTACTTTGTGCAATTCACACACTATAGATTTAACAAAAACATTTTAAGTTCTACAAAGATTTAATATAAACATAAAGTATTTCTTATTGCCATGGCAATTTGATAACAACCATTACTTTGTTGGATGAACATTTTTTTTATAAAAGCTTAACATTGCTGCTTCATTATAGAAAATGAGAATTTTATTAACAGAAAAAAAAAGTTTATTCTGTAAATAAAAATAATGTGGTACATTTTTTTATAGCCATGCATTACAATTTTAAATTTAAGTTAAATAATGTTATTTTATTAACCTTATATATTTTTTTTCTCTTACCTGAGTAAGTAAATAGTAGGCATTAACTTTTCTCATCTTGTAATTGGTCTAATGACTGTTAGATGAGGTATGTAAATAAATAAATAAAAATTTATTATAAGAGTGCATGATTGACATAATAAATTATAAATAAGGAATGCACTTAAATAATTGAGGTTATGTATCTGACAGTTTAACGCTAATTTCGTCTTTTCTGAAAATAATACAATTAGTGCATTTTTTTGTATGAAAGTCTTTATTTTTACTCAAAAAATACATATACAAAATGTATATTGTATTATTATTATTAATTCATTATATATTTAATATTATATTTTTTATATATACAGTGTGGAACTCACTTATGGAATAAAATTCGTTATTCGTTGAGAAAAGATTTTTATGAAAAACGCTCGGACACGTAAACTTTAGTTTTTTATTCCAAATTTTATAATGATAATTTTAAATTTGATGTCCCACCATTTCCCCCCCCCCCGCACATCAGGCACCCTTATATTAAATAACAACCCCACTTTTTTTCATCGAAAATTGATAGTGCACATTTTTTTTTAGTACGACGATACCACATAAGTTGTGTTTAGTAACCATAATTTTCAATACAGCGTGAATATTTAAAAATTACAAGTATGAATTTTTTATGTTATTCTAAAAGCCGAAAAAATGCATCCATATAAACTACAACACGTACAAGAATTGATTGATGGTGATTCTGATAGAAGATTACAATTTTGCGAGCAAATGCTGCATATGTTAAACAGGAATGTTATTTCTTCTGCAGATATTCTTTTTTTCTGATGAATTAACATTTCTATTAAATGGCGAGGTAAATAGACAAAATTGCAGGTACTGGGCAGAAGAAAATCCCCACTGAATGCGACAAAGTCATACCCAACGTCCTCAGAAAATCAACGTTTGGGCTGGTATTGTTGGTGATCATGTGGCGGGACCTATTTTCATTGAAAATCTTAACGGGGCAAGATATCTGGATATGCTAAGAGAATAAGTCGTCCCAACTTTGGTAAATTTGTTTCCAAATCCATTGGAACCTAATCTTCACAATGAAAGGATATGGCTTCAACAAGACGGTGCCCCACCCCACTATGCTCTTCCTGTACGGAATTACTTAAATGACACCTTTCCACACAGGTGGATCGGAAGAAGAGGTTTTATAGAATGGCCAGCAAGATCACCGGATCTAACACCTCTAGACTTTTTCTATGGGGATATCTAAAAAACAGGGTGTTTAAAACACAACCTGCTAATTTAGATGAATTAAGAAACAGAATTACTGGAGAAATTAGGAACATAACACTGGAGGTTTTAAACAGTGCGGGAACAATTTCACAGTAGATTACTAAAGTGTCAGGAAGTGGACGGGGACATTTTGAACATTTATAAGATTGAAGAACAATTTATTTTTGAATTTTTAATTAATTTTAAAATAAAAAGTTTAGTTTTTTAATTTGTCATTATATTTCCACCCTGTATTGAAAACTGTTTACTAAACCCTACTTATATGGTATCGTCATACTCAAAAAAATGTGCACTATCAATTTTCGATGAAAAAAAGTGGGGTTGTTATTTAAGATAAGGGTGCCTAATGTGCGGGGGGGAAAATGGTGGGGGAATAAAAACTAAAGTTTACTTGTCCGAGCGTTTTTCATAAAAATCTTTTCTCAACGAATAACAAATTTTATTCCATAAGTGAGTTCCACACTGTATATTAATATTTTTAGAAAATAGCGTTAAACTGACGTCACTTAAGCTTAGTTATTTGATTTATAAGACATAATATAAAGACTATACATTTTGTCCAAATTTTTCCTTGTTATTATTAACTCATTATCCTGCAAAACTTTGTATTTGCCTTTCTTAGCGGAAATAAAATTCCCGCTAGTAAAGTTTTTAGTATGGTCCACCTGGTCTGCGTAAAAGAGATTTAGGAGTACGCGCGGGTAAAACATACCCCGCAATAGGCAGGCTGTCGGTGGGCAGGTGTACAGTGCGCTCGGTGCCAGCGTCAGCAGGATCGGCTTCGGCGGCAGCAGGAGAGAAGCGCGAATAGTAGTGGGAGAGCCAGCGCCGCTACCGGCCTCCCTTAGTACCAAACCAGCTGTTCGCGGCGAAGCTTAAAGGACAAGCTTGTAAGCTGTGTATTGTATCGCGCTTGAAACGTGGGCATTTTAATTATTTAAAATGAGAGTCGGGGACGGGTAAGACTGGGAAAATGTGAATGTGAAGGGTTGTGCGACTTTTTTTGTTTTTTGGTTGAGTGCGGGAATAACACAACATAACCTCGATGTTTGTTTTGGTTTTTTAGTTATTGTGACCTTGTGCTTCAGCGCGTTAAAAATAATCGCGTTATGGTCCAGTAACACTCCGCACGTGGTTATACGCACTACATGTGTCGACAATCAATAGTATTAATCACTAATTTTAACGCATAAGGATTTTTATTGAATAATGATAATTTGGTGAGAGGGGGCAGACAGAATATTTCACGCTGGTAGGGGCTTGGAAGTGTTGCCTGCCTTGGTGCAGCGCACCCGAAGGAAAGTCGGTGCCTCCTGCTTACTCGCCTCCAGCCCCCCCTTTGGAGTCGCCTCCGAGAACTCGCCAACCGTCGCCGCATCTACTCGACATCCTGGAGGAGGAAAGCGAGTACCTCATCGAGGAGGAAGACCAAGCGACCCTTCAGCCCCTAGGCGGCATCCTCACCTATAAGAAACGTAGAAATGTACAGTCTCCCTCTCCCACGCTTTCTGTGAAAACCTCTTCGACTCGCAAGGGTCAACGCACCAGGTCCGTGACCAGCACAACCTCCAGCGAAACCTCCAGCGCGGCCTCCAGTGCACCAGTGCCTCCCAAGATGCAGGCCGAGCAGGGATCCATCGGGGATCTGCAGAAGTACCACAACAGATACCTACGCAACAGAAGACACACTTTGGCCAATGTTCGGTAAGTTAAGTGTCATGGGTGATTCTTCAAAAGTTGGGCAACTTTTGACTTCATTTTGTTTATATAGTTTTTGGACAAAATTAAACAGTATTTTGTTATGAGAACATAGATAATATAATAAATATACTGTTCCAGACCGGGTCAGTTACTTTTTCAAACAGTTTCTGAAATATCTGTGTTTTCTAAATTTGAATGCAAGGGAAGTGACGATCGAGTATTCCAGGGTACTAATTAAATACATAATTTATTGGAAAATATAAGATTTATTGCAACTTTGAGCATATTATACATTAAATATCTTAAAATCAAATAATCCACACATCAGTGGCGGCTGGTGGATTTTGGGTATACCGATATCTCAATTATTAGATATGGGACCCACACCAAATTTATATGAGTTTATAATGACATTAAATAAACAAGTTCTGCGCAAGCATTGAAGTTTGCGAAAAAAAGATAACCGAAACATCGAACATGGAACTGACGACACGGTACTGATGAATGGGATACAAATTTGAGATTATAATTCGGAATTAAGTATTTTACTGATATAAAATAACTACTCACCACAGTACTGAAATTTTGACTGGAACTATACGTACATTCACCACAACTTCGCCGCTTGCATTGTTTTCATGACTGTCGTGCAAAGGGCGGGCTCTGTTGGTAATTTTTTTACCAATACTTGAGTTAAAACGAGGACTTGACGTTTAAACTTCAATATTTCGCAGGAATCTTGAATTTTAACATTGGACACAGAACTGACGGGTAAAAGTGAGCACAAAGATTATCAATTTTTTAGAAAATTGCTATTATTCGAATCTATGATAAAATATGAAAATTACATTATTTAATGTTTTATAGTTTGTAGTGAAATTTAAGATAAATTGAATATATTTTAAAATAAAATCACTCAAATATTTGATTCAGGAGTTGTGATACGCCACGGTATTGATGTTTTGAATATTTATTATGTTTTTCCACAAACGTGCTTTTGAAAAAATACATTAAAAAAACCTGGATCCTTTGTAATATACTAAAATATTTACAAAAAATATTAAAATACCTACTCTATAGTATATCAAAAATATTGTTTGGGGTGACAAAAAAAAATTATGGTGAAAGTTTGAGTCAATAATATTAATATTAAGAGGTCTTTCATCGCAATTTTAGATTTTTTTTTCCTGAGCGAGTTTTTGTCTCAGAACTCCCAAACCACTGAGTTTAACAAAATTGACTTAAGAATATTTTTGGAAGAAAATTGAATGCTCTACAAAAATGGTTTCATTGGAATGTCCCATCAGATAAACCGTTTTCTTACAATCATGCCTTAAAAATTAGTATAGTTTTACAATTTGATTCATGTAAAAATCAGTACCGAGAAAAAAAGCCCATAGATATTCTTATGGAAAATTATTTGCTCTACAAAAAGATTCTTCTAACATTTTTGGCTAAATTCACTCCATCAAAAGTTATTCAAGGTTAAATTTGAAGTCAAAACGAAATTCTTGTTTTTTCCGCTCTAGATTTTTTTTTTTGGTCAGTTCAAAACCTGGATTCTTTTATCGATGATATGTTATGTTATTGATAAAATTACTGAAAATTAAAAAAAATAACACATTAGAATTTTTTCGCTTAAAGAAGCTAAATATTATTTTCACTGTTACCTATTAATCGTTTAAATAATAACAATCATGTTGTTTTTTATTGGAAATTGTTAATTAGTTATATAATACACATTTATAAAGAAAAAAAATTAAATTATTATCATGCATAAAAAAATAAATCTACAGAGGAAAAAAACAAGAATTTCGTTTTGACTTCAACCTTAACCTTGAATAACTTTTGATTAAGTGAATTTAGCCAAAAATGTTAGAGGCTTTTTTTGTAAAGCATTTGATTTCCCATAAGAATATTTATCGGTTTTTTTAAGGGTACTGGTTTTTACATGTATTACAAAATTGTACGGAAAATTTTATTTAACCTTTTTTGTAGAGCATTTAATTTTCGTAAAAAAATATTTTTAAATCAATTTTGTTAAACTCAATGGTTTGGGAGTTTTGAGACAAAAACTTGCTGAGGAAAAAAAAAATTAAAATTGCGATGATAGACCTCTTAATATTAATATTATGAACTCAAACTTTCAGAATAATTTTTTATGTAACCCCAAACCATATTTTCGACATACTTTTCCAAAAAAAAATAGTTGATTTTTTTGGCCCAGTCTAATATGTCATGTGTCATAAACTAAACAACGTGTTAAGCTTGTTAATAAGAATAATCTTATCGTCGTTTTAGCTTGTCAGCTTGTGAAAATTTGAGCTTATAGTTTTTTAACCTTGTCATTATTTAATCATGTCGAATTTTAATCGTGTCAAAGTTTAGAATAGTACGAGCCCTAACCACATAATGTTCGGACACTTCATAATTTATACAGAAATTTTTTTCGTGAATACTATCTCAAAATTATTAGAAGTTATGAAAAATTCAGCTTATTGTGGCATATACCCCTTGAAGCGATTTTTATTTTTAAAAAGTTTACCTTTTATTTTTAGCTTTTAAAAAAAGGCTAACTTTTTAACTTTTTTTTGCATGAGTAAAAAAAGTTATAAATGGGCCCATTAAAAAGAACATAAAATATTATACAAACCCTGAAAATTTGGTAAAAATTGTATAAATAATAAGAAAGTTATAGCGATATATATATCTGCAAAATCTCCCGTTTCCTAAGAAAATTGCAAAAACTCTTTAAAAATAGCATTTTTAAATTACTTATACTTTTTTATAACTTATTTATTTTTTACCAAATTTTCAGGGTTTCTATAATATTTTATGCTCTTTTTAATGGGTCCATTTATAACTTTTTTTACTCATACAAAAAAAAAGTTAAAAAGTTAGCCTTTTTTTAAAAGCTAAAAATAAAAGGTAAACTTTTTAAAAATAAAAATCGCTTCGAGGGGTATATGCCAAAATAAGCTGAATTTTTCATAACTTCTAATAATTTTGAGATAGTATTCACGAAAAAAATTTCTGTATAAATTATGAAGTGTCCGAACATTATGTGGTTAGGGCTCGTATATTAGCATCGGTGCTACATAAAAATAACAATTTACATATTTACATACAAAAATACACCATAAAAAAAGAAAAGTTTACAATCAGATTTTTTACAAAACCTTTTTTTAAATAGAAATCTCATTAGTTTTATATTTATAAAAATGATTTAAATATTAATTAGATATACCTATGTATGTAATATAGTAAATATAATATAAAGATGAGAAAATGTACATTTAGCTTATAACAAATCTTCTCAGAAGTTTTTTGAACTGATTTATATTATCACTTTTTTTAATATTCACAGGTAGTTTATTAAACCTTTGTATAAAACGGAGTTTAACAATTGTGTGGTTTTACATCTACCTATCTACTAAAATAAACTGTTCAATTTCTAGTATTATAATTACGTACATCTGTAAAAACTTTTAATTTATCGCAGATATATTCAAGTAACAGATTTTTTTTAGTTTAAATATAAATAAATTTACATTTTACATAATTCTTTGTTTGACAGACATCAAGTTTAGGACACTCAACATGGATCTAACAGGTCTATAACGGTTACATTTTAATATCTAGCTCTATTTTGAATTTTTTTTAACTGGCTTATTTTATATTGTGGCAAATAAAACAACAATACTGTAAATGTGGAAGTGCAATGACGTTGTATAGCAACACTTATTTTTGAGAACTTTCTCATAATATAGTCTGCATCGGCATGAAATTTTAAGCTGGAATCTAAAATTCTACCCAAATATTTAATTTCTTTATCATAAGTAATTTTTCCCCATTTACAGTAATCTGCACAGCATTTATGGTTACAGAACTTATTCTTGATTTTTTGGCGAATAAACAAAATTTAGATTTACCTGCATTCAGGCTTAATTTATTATTTATTGTTCAGATTGTTGTTGACATTTGCTTGCATTTGATTAAAGTTTTTACCTATTATATATACATAGTGTCGCCTGCAAATAAAATAATTTTACATTTTTTGTCACCTCTACCATATCATTGATGTACAATAAAAACAATAATGGGCCCAAAACCGTCCCTTGAGGTACACCGTATTTACCCACATAGATTCAGACATTTTTATATTTATTTTGATATATTAGACGTTGGATTACACAAGTAAAACTTAACCAATTTAAAACGTTTATTTATAAACGCCATTTTGCTTAATTAAATGAGTGCCTAAAAAAGTTCATAAACAAGTTGCATACTATACTTTTTCTAGGACAAATACTTAAAATTATCTAAAAAATGATTTAAATTAAATATTTGTATAAGGCACTTTATTTAAACTAACTTAAAACTAACTTCAGCCCGTGACTAAAGCGCCATAAAGTTACAACTTGTCAATGTGTATTTAAAAGGTCACTTAGTGTCAAGGAAACATGTACGATAATGGGCATTTTACAGGTTGGAGTAAAAAATATTTTTAGGTTTAATAAGCAACAAGTAACAAATAATTTAGCATTTAGCGTTTAAAATTAAATAAATTAATTAAAAATTAATAATATTTGGTTAACATTGTACAATTTAAAAAATGGTAAACAAACACAAACTTAAAAATAGCATGATAATAAAATAGATTGGTTCTTGGGTAAAATATTGAAAGAAGACCGTTTTATAACATCCATTTATATTTACCAAATAAAACGAAACCTCACAATAACAAATCGATAAAAAGTTGAGGTATTATGGCACGCGAACCGTTCGGGTAGGTTAGATTTTTCAATTTAAATATCAAATATGATTTTATTTTAGGGGTTTCAGCGAAATGCTAAAATTAATGGTTACCCTGTAATAGAACAAGTATGGGCGCCGTTTTATGTTTTATTCAGGAATTATTCTTATCAGCCATTTCAAGCATACGGACAAATCAAAAAATAGTTTTTATAAAAAAAATTAGGTAATTTATTATTTTATATTATTTTTGCATCAAAATTTTCAAATATTCTTCTTTTATTAGGCTATATGTACATTCAAAAATATGCAAGATAAATATTTTGTTTATCTCGTCCACACCTTTTAATTATTAAAATTATCTCTACTTATATAAGATAAAAAAAAAACGCAAGAAATATTTTACAAACGTAGAGATAATTTTAATAATTAAAAGGTGTGGACGGAACAAAAAAATATTTATCTTGTATATTTTTTTAATGTATAGCCCAAATTAAAATTAACTAAATAAAAAATATCAGTTTGGCATAAAAATTAAATCTAATTTTTGATTAAGTGAATTAAAAATGTTTGTTTAACAAAAAAAAAATACAAATATAAGAAACAGATATTTTAAATTCATTAAATTAAAAATATCAGTTTGGCATAAAAATTAAATCTAATTTTAAAATATATGCTATGATATTATTAATTCGTAGATTAAAAATTCTTATGTGATATTTTTTATCTAATTGAAATTATCACTCCAGGGTTAATACATAAAATTAATTCCTGAATAAAAAAATAAAATGGCACCCCATAAACAAGTGTCATATTAAAAACTATAATTTAAAGTTTATCATTGTCAACACTCACTATATAAGTAGTTGTGTGCTTCGCTCAACCAACTTTGAGCCCAGTACAAAAATACTCACGTCTCAGCCATATGACATTAGTAACTATAAAATACAAAAAATATATTATTTTGTTCATTTCCATAAACTGTTTTCAACATTAATTGACCACCTTTAAGCAAATATCGTAATGATTGACAATAGGAAAAACGTATTATATTTATTATGCGTTAAATACTCTTGCTTATTTCAAAAATGAGATTCCCATACAAAAATTGAACTACTCTCTTAAAGCATTTTGCTGTTTTTTTATTTTTAGTACCCTGTACATTTAATTAAAAATTATTAAAGATATTTTCATAAAGAATTCATTTTTGCATAAAACGCCCTTCTAGGTTTTTAGTTTTTCTTAGTTTCTGAACACCCTGTACATTTAATTAAAAATGTTTGATAGGAATCTTATTTTTGAAACAAGCAGGATATTTTTTCGTAACATAATAAAGAAGTTTTTTCAATTGTCAACCCTATCCGTGGACGCATTCTATAATATACAAAGTATATTAAAAAAATATTATTATGTAATAGGAGTAAAAATCATATCATTATGATTCTTAAATACAATAATTATTATCAAATTTGAAAAATATATTACTTTTATGACCAGGTTGGCGGTAATTTTTGTTGACCTTTTTTCATTTTTGCATAACTCTTATAGGCGCATAAAGGCAGATGAATTTTTATAAAGTCGGAACTTTTCGAATGCACTAGGTGGTTCTGGGCAAGTAATTATAAATGTTTAGTTAAATTCCATTTATTATTTGAAATTAGACGAATTTAAGAATTTGTATTTTTGAAAATACAAAAAAAAAAACGAAAGTTGTATTTGGACTCACATTTTTATTTACGCCACACCTTTTTCAGGATTCCGAAAGAAAGAGTATTTTTAACCATTCTTTCATGTATTTGTTATAACGCAACGCATGCGCAGTAACTTCTACTTCGCAGTTTAAAATCTTAGGTAATAATCTGCCAAGAACAATAAAGTGTTTTAAAAACTGGGTTTTTGCCGCGTAAAATTACCTCTCAGACCACTGTGCGGAGGTCAGTTTATTTGAGAAAAAAAGTATACATAGTTGGCGCTAAGAATATTTAAAATAGGGGACCATTTCGTTTTTAACATTAGCTGTGTATCAATACAGATTTTGGAAAACTTACATTTCCTTGTAAGTTAAATATTTAATATACTTACATATAAGAAAAACGTGCTAAATATGGTTAATATAATTTTAATACACCAGCTCCAATGGCCGCTGGCGCGCGGTAGTGTTTTGTAATAAATAGAAAATGCAACACTTGCCTCATGGTTATACAATTATGCATTAAACTTGTATTTTGTATATTAATAAAAAAATTTTAAGATATGTTTACAAAACATTAACTAGTTAAAAACAAACATTTATATTATTTAAACTTGTTTGTCAAATAATTCAAAAAAATATTATATTTTTTAAACAACCAATTTTTTTAAGTTTATTAAAACTTTTCTAGAATAACCCTTATTCATTTTCTCGGGTTTTGTTTAAACTTCGGGCTAAATTTAAATTTATTAGGTTGACGTTGCAAAAATAAAACAAAAAGAAAACGTTTTGTGCACGAAAATAGTACATTATAAATTTTTCAAACTGAATTTTACCGTAAAATGCGCTTTATTGGATTCTTCCAGCAGGTGTTTCAAAAGTTAATT